AGGCTGAAAACACTCCCTGCTCATGTAAATGAGAGCTCCTGGGAGCAGTTGGCAATAGCTTTTGGCAGCCTCCTTTCAGGAGAGGGGTATTATATTGTCTCTAGTTTTCTTTAATTTAATTTGTGCCTTCGGGGTTCTTGGTTAACATTTTTGAAGTACTTTAATCAGGAATCACAACTCAGGGTAGTTAGTTAACATTTGAAAGACCCTAATCAAGATTCTATACTCCAGTGGCAACCAGTGCATCAGATCTTGCTCTCTGAGTCTGCCCCAATGGGTGTATTACTTAGAATAAAAGATGTTAGAAGTAATTTTTTATGGTGAAAAGAAAGATATTTAAGATATATAGTTGACCAAGTGCTTCCACTGGGACATGATTGGAGGATAAGAATTGGTGAGTCCAGCAACCTACCAGTCTAGGTCTAGAGCTTGATTTGTTTCTGTGCTTATAGCCCTGGGAGGATTTCATCAACTCACCTGGCCAGTCACTGCAGCATAGGTCTCTGCCAAATTCTGCCTGCTTCTCTACCCTGAGCTCACTGGACATGCACTCTGGCTGCACTCATTGTTTACATTTTTTGTCTACAGAGATATTACTCTCAATTTTGAGGCAGACTATTTTTTTTTAAAATTTAACTTATATTTTATATATAATAGTGTTTTTTTTAGTAGATTGGATATCTAAAGTATGAAGTTGTAATGACATTTTGATCAGAGGCAGAAGAATTATTTTTTATTAGTGGTAACTTTCTTATTATTTCCTGCTTGAGAATATTGTCAGTATTCTGAGGCCAGGTTCCCATCTGTGGGGGCAGCATGGTGGGTATGTAATCATGATGCTTTAGTGGTCTAATTAGGCTTGGTGATTTTTTGAAGGCTCCTTTTTATATTGAATTCTGTTCAGTAGTGGCAGACATTATATAGAGATAATGTTCTTTAATACATGTAAATTATGTAGGTAAAAAATGTATGTTATATAATTTAGGTACTGTGCATAATATAAGGAATGACATCTACCAGGAATTTCTATAGTAAATATTACCATATCTCTTATACCTTATTTAACATCTACATATATAAAAACCTAAGCGACCGAATGACCAGTCGCTATGATGTGCACTGACCACCAGGGGGCAGACACTCTAGCAGGAGCTGCCCCCTCATGGTCAGTACACTCCCACAGCCAACCTCGGCGGCTGGCCAATCTCCTGTGGTCCCTCGCCCCCAATGGCCATCTCCGATTGGCCCTTCCCCCCCAGCAGGCCAACCTCCCACGGTCCTTCCTCCCTGCCCCCTCTTGCTGGCCCGCCCTGATTAGCCTGATTGGGACTGGGCGAGACAGACCCTATTGCTGGCCAGGCCGAGGGATTCCAATTGTGCACAAATTCATGCATCGGGCCTCTAGTGTATAAATATAAATGATAAATTAATATAACATATTCAATAAAAATTAGTGTTTTACCATAGCCCTGACCTCCTGCAATTTGATGACATATGGCGTATGTTACCAATCTTTCTTTCCAAGCATATTATGAAAAGAAAACAGCCACGGACTGGTCTAGATTGCTTTCTGTACTTACTGGAAAACAAAGAAGTAGTTTTCTTTTATAAAATATTTACTGCATAAATGGATCATTCACCTTGTTTATCTCTTTTTAAATGGGTTATCTATAATATAGGTATACCTACTCAGCTATAGGCCTAGTGATCAGAGATGCATAGATTTACACTGTACTTAGTAGAATCATGGAATTGTAGGGCTTGAAAGGACTGCAGATATCATCCAGTTAAATATTCCATGAGTCCCAAAGTGTCTTAGGTAAACCTCTTTCAGGATTCCATGCTTAAGCTCAGCCAGTGACATCATTTACACCCACTTAGATAAGGATGTATGGATGTAGAGGATGTACATGCATGCCTGTCTGTCTAATAAGAAACAATTGGGGCCAGTAGGATTTTAGTAGAAATAATTGGTGAAAGGACATGAGAGTCTTTTATTATTTAGCAATGTTCTTTTTTTTTTAAAATATATTTTATTGATTTTTTACAGAGAGGAAGGGATAGGGATAGAGAGATAGAAACATCGATGAGAAAGAAACATCGATCAGCTGCCTCCTGCACACTCCCCACTGGGAATGTGCCCGCAACCAAGGTACATGCCCTTGACTGGAATCGAACCTGGGACTCTTCAGTCCGCAGGCCGACGCTCTATCCACTGAGCCAAACCGGTCAGGGCTATTTAGCAATGTTCTACCAGTGAAAGTTTTTAAACCAGGTTCAAGAAATCCTCACTTAAGACACTCAAAGCAAAAATATCACAGATAAGAAATTGGAAAAGGAAGTAAGGTGTTTTTGTTTTTTAAAGTGTTTTAAAACCCACACATTGAGTGCATATTATAGCAATATAGATACAAGGGAATGATTTGGGGTGTGGTAGTTTAGAAATATGTACATTTTGTTCTAATTGTGCTGTGAGCCCTTACTGAATTTCAGCTAAATTATTTTGCACAAGGCTTTTTCATAAAGTACCAATAACTCTATCTGAAATCACAGGGTTTTTGTGATTATTAGACTAGTCTTCATGGTTGATTATATTATCCTTTTAAATTGCCTTTTAATTTTCAGCTGATGTAAGTGAAATAGATACTATAAATTAATTAATATTGGATCTGTTCCGTGTTTATGCTCTAGGAGATTTCAGGAGACAAGCAGATAGATAAGGTTCTTAACAAATGTGCCATTTGGGGCGGTGGCATTTTAATATTCATACCTTGCTTATTTGTTATTTTTAATAGGCTATCTATTATATTAATGTGCATGTAAGTAGCTATATGCCACGTCATCTAGGCCCTTATTGAGTTAAACTACATTTATCTCATCACCAATCACTCTTGCGGCATGTGGCTGTAATTTTCAGGTGGCCCTTTGCATGGTCCTTTGTTACTTTTATGAAGATCATTTTGTCCCAGCTAAATTTCTGTTACCTTTTTTTCTGCCTGAAGTTCTGCTTATCTTTTCGCTTCATTTCCCCCTCTAACAGGTTGAATTTAGATAGTCCCTTGGCTGCTAAATACTTTTCTCGTCTTGCTTTTGAGGTTGGTCTTGAAGGATGGAATAATTTTGTGGCCTGAGGTGTCTAGCTCTTTGTGTATAAAACAAAACCTGCAACTAAAATGTGTATTCTTGAAATGTCACTTTTGGAAATATCAATGACTTTTTTGATTTGCCTTCAGAATTGATTGGCATGTGATCTTTAGAGGCTTACAGCTTCTTGGTTCTACTTCCAGTTTACTAGTATTAAAAAAACTTAAATTTAAATACCATATCATCAAATGCCCACTGTTCTGTGAGGAAAACCACATGAATTTGGTTGTTATTTATGTTCTTCTCTCTCTTTATGGATTTTAGGGGTCTGTTGAATCTAAGTAAGACAACAGCATCACAGATAAATATGCAGAGGACTTACTTTAGATTAAGGTTGTATAAGTAATTATATCATTAAATGCATTTGGTTTATATTTATGTGCATTTTATGAATTTGGAGCAAAACACAGGACTGAGGAGAATAGCCTAATTGTCATCTGGAGTAGAGGTTTTAGGAAATGTATTTAGTGGTTACAAGGACTTACTTCATATACTGGCTATTTTCATTTAGGGAATGAAATAAACAGATTTCAATGCATTCCAGTAGTGCCGAACAACCCAGACTGCACTTGTTGTGTAGTTGAGCTAGAATCTACTAAAGAAGAGTGTATGCATCTTTCAGAATGGCACATATTTTAAAAATGATTCAGTTTTTTTGAGGAGTGGAGGAGAGGGGAGGATGGGGAAACTTTATTAGGGTCCATATTTAAGTTTGTATTCACTTTTGCTTTGTCTGTCCTAATCCAGCCACTTGTAAAATTAGAGAATTATTTTTAGGCCAGAAGTTTTCAACCTGTGCTTCTTTTTTCTTTTGACAGCAGTGCTTGCTCTGAAATTACAGGAGAAGTGTTGTGTATATGTATATTCGTTTGAGGGAAGGGCCTATGGATTTCAGCAGATAACAGAAATCTCAGATTCCAGTCTCACCTGCTTCCCAACTTCTCACGGGGTTAAAAACACTGTTCTAGATGTTTCTTCCATTTGAAAACCAGGTAGCTTGGATGAAAGCTGCAGTCTAAAGATCTAGAGAGATTACTGACATATATAGTTCGTTCTCAGAAAACCTACATGTATTAGCAATACCAGTCTTCAGTAGATAATAATCTTATGCTAGACATACCCTCAAAGTTTTGTCTCACTTGCATGCATTATTTTTCATCTCTTTTATAATTTGTTATAATTTAATCTTATTTACCTCTTCTTCATGTATTTGTAAATGTCTTTATATCAAGCTATTTATCTCTTCTAACTAATAAATAGGAATTTTGAAACTATGGTCTGTCTCTTTAGAATTCTCATGCCAAGTGTGACATTTTATAAATAGTGAATACTTAATAAATGTCACAAACTGACTAACTCATTCTGGAAGTGGTAGTCTATGGAAACTTCCCATGGAGATTTGCTTTCTTGCTGTTAATTGTTTCTATCTCTTATTACTAACCAATTGGGATGGATTGAAGAATGTACTGTTTTTGTGTGATTCTTACTTACTATGTAAATATAATTAAATTACAAATATAATTGAAAAATCTCTATTTTAAAAAAAAGATTTTAAAATTGATTTTTAGAGATAGAGGAAGGAGAGGGAGAGAGAGAAACATCAATGTGAGAGCAAAACTTCCATTGGCTGCCTACTGCATATCCCCTACCGGGGATCCAGTCTGCAACCTGGGCATATGCCTTGACTGGGAAAGGAACTGGCAACCTTTCAGTGCATGGGACAATGCTCAACCAACTGAGCCACACCAGCCAGGGCTTCTCTGATTTCTTTAAGGGAGCAATCAAAGCAGTGAAGCCATGTACCAGACCCACTGTGTTTTTTGTAATGGAACCTTTGTTTATTTTTTTACAGTGAGGGAGATAAACCTACAGGACATCAAAGAGGATTTGGACTTGGATCCAGAGGAGAACAGCACCCTTTTTATGGGCATCCTCATCAAGGGGCTTGCCAAACTGAAGAAGATCCCAGAGACAGTGAAGGCCATCAAAGAACGCTTGGAGCAGGAGCTCCAACAGATCGTGAAGAGGTCTACAACCCAGGTGGCGGACAGTAGCTATCAGAGGGGAGAGAACCTCACTGCGGACAACCAACCAAGGTAGATCGGGTGTAATTCATGTGTTTGATAGCTATTATACCTTTTCTAGGGTGGGAGGTAAGTAATTATCTTCTTTTGATAATTATCTTCTTTTGATTATTTCTTGAACTTGGGATACTATAGAACATACAAACTCAATTGGTGAAAACAGCTTGAATAGGTATAATTCAGCTGGCTTTTTTTTTCCCTTTTTCTTTTTTTCCCCCAGCTGGCTTTTGACATAGTTGCGAAGTTTCAACGCATTTTGTTCAGATGCAAATGAAAAAATGAAGCAATTATTGGATATTTACTAAGTATTAAGCAGAATTCAAGGCAATTTGTATATATTATGTCACTAAGTATCACTACAACTTTATGAACTACTTATTAGCCATAATTTACAGTTAGGGAAATGGGCCTCAGAGATTAAGTAATTAGTCAAGGTCACAGAGCAAGTGACTGATCTTGGGGTTGAATGCAAGGCCATGGTCCTTCTTCCATGTTTTGTCCTTTAATATATGGATATTTTCAGTAGGCAAATCAGTCTCAGGAATTATTGTATCTGTTTAAAACAACTAATTGGGTTTGGATTTCATACTTCTTGTTTCATAAGGGGAAAACTGAAACTGTGCTCTGATCCAAACTCTGTCTTGACTGTCAGGCACTGAGAGAGCACGTCTGCCAAACCAGAGTCTAGGGCACAACAGACTAATGCCATCTGATGGTGGGACAAGAGCTTTGAAATGGAGGCTTTCCTAGAAAATCCAGGATCCACTCTGCACAGGTCTCTGTTCTCCTCCTCCTCTGCTTTTACCCCGAACTCTCCACATACACCAGACATGGACAAGGCAGGAATTTGCATGGGGAGGGGGCGGGGAAAACTACACTTTCATCTGAGAGCAAAGGGCACAGTAAGGCACGTCTTCTGAGTTCAAATAATGTGAGTTTCTGGGAAGGCATCATAATCTTATTGACATGCTATTAAGGAAATTCTGCTGTTTGTTAGGGCTTAAATTTTTTTTCTTTAAAGAAGATAAATTTTAAAGGAAATAATAATAGCTCACTTAGTATAGAATTTCCCAGACTTACTTTAAATTTTTTTGGAAAAATAATGTATGCTGTTTTCTTTTTTATATTCTTTTATGTATCTAACTAACATTAATTTTAATTATACTTTAAAATTTCAACATTAATTCCCTTGTAAACTTCATTCAAAAGTACAGTTGTTGAAGAAACCTTCCTTCACCCCTCGCCTGCCCCAGAATATTTCAGAGCACATGTTGTGATGAGCATGGGTTTGGGAGTTGAGCAGCCCTGACTGAGGAAATAACACCTGCTTTATAGGGTTGCTGGCATTAGATGAGGATATATGGTTAGACTTTAGGAGGGTAGTGCCGGTAACTGTATTGGTGTATATTAATACACACATTTATTTATTCTTGTTTCTTTCCTCAACTTCATGTTCTTTGATCACTCACAGTATGACCCAAAGAAGCTGGAACTGGTTCTGAATTGAATTTGTCTTTGTTGCCTGGTGCCTGGATTTCCTTGATGACCTTTTGCCTCCTTATTAATGAACACTCCAGAATTCCGGCTCTCTATATGTCCTGCTGCTGCAAGTTCCTAGATGAATACGCTGAACTTTCATAGGGAAATAACATGACTGTAGTATATATTGGAAGTAAAACGAAAGGGCACGGATCAATAACTTTTCTGCAGATCTCATTACAGTGCCCTTAAAAGCAATGTGTCTTTCAAAGGATTTTGACCTCTTCCTCTTCTGTGCCCTAAGCCCCTTGCAGAATTCACGAGTGGAAATTGCAGCAGTAGAGGTAGAAATTCAGCATACTGCCCTGGAGATAATAAATGTTTCTCTATGGGGAATGAGTCAGCAAGAGGTTTTTTCCTTCTCTAAGTTTTGTTTTTGTCAATATTTTGAAGGCTTTTGTAGGCAGGATATATTGGACAGTAGCAAGTGAACAACCAAACTATCTAAAACATGATCTCATTTTATAAAATGTACAAATCTGAAATTTTGGGCCCAAACACTTTGAGGTAAAATAGTACAGAGAAAGCAAATATTTGGGGTGAACAACTTAAAAAAAGGAAATTAAATTTACTGGGGTGACATTGGTTGATAAAATGATATAGGTTTCAAGTGTTCAGTTCTTTTAAAAAATGTATTTTTATTGATTTCAGAGAGGAAGGGAGAGGGAGAGAAAGAGAGAAATATCAATGATGAGAGAGAATCATTGATCAGCTGTCTCCTGCACACCCCACAAGGGGGATCGAGCCCATAAACTGGGCATGTGCCCTGACTGGGTATTGAACTGTGACCTCCTGGTTCACAGGTTGGTGCTCAACCACTGAGCCGTGCAGCTGGGCTCAAGTGTTCAGTTCTGTAACACATCATCTGTAACACATTGCATTGTGTTTACCACCCAAACTCAAATCTCCTTCCTTCGCCATATACATTTGACTCCTTTACCCTGTACTACCTGCTCCCCAACCCCACTTCCTTTCCCTCTGGTGGTGAACCACTTTTTGAAGATTAAAGATTAAATTCTTGGGCTGGCACTCCAAATGACTGATGATTTTGAGCTTGTCTGTGTGCTATCAAATGCTTTATAATGTCTCAAGAATTACCTTGGAAACATCATTGAAAAGTCATGATTTGCATTGCTGCTTCTTAGAGGTTTAGAAAGGATAGTGTCAGATTATCCCTTAAAGCTTGCATGGTACTTCGTGTTCATTGGATTTTACTGGGAGGTGTTAGTGGCATTTATTTTAGAGAGCAGTAAAGTCACAATATTTTGCACAATTTTTTTTTTTTACCATTACATACAAGGACTCTTATGCCAAAGGTATAAGAATCTGTTTATAGAAAATTGAAGCATAGCCAAAAAGAGCCATGATTCTTCCTTCTCCAACATGCATATTTTCTCCCTCATCCCCCCTCCCAAGTGGGGGAAAAAAAAAGACTATTAGAAATCATTAGCATATAAATGCTACTCTGAGGCAAGATACCATTTCTGTAACTTTTTCTGAAAGTTTCATTGTTTAATATCATCCTATTAAATATATTCTGGTTGTGATGCATTGCAGGCTTGTTTTCATTTGTTTTTATGTAGAGAATTAATGTTGTATGCTATTTTGCTAGAAAAGTAGAAGGAACCAAGCTAGAATTCTGTCTTTTTTTTCACTTCCTACAGAGCCAATATACATTCACAGCCAGTTTTTAAAAATCACTTCAATGATCTACTTATTATTTTATTTTATTTTTGACCCCAAGCTATCTAAACTAAAATTTCCCAAAATATCTGCTGTCTTTTTATAGGAGAAATATTTTGTCATTCATAATCTATCTAGTGTCTATAAACCTACACTTACTATTAAAGGAAAATATTCAACTACTTTTGTTGCCAACTTGATAAACATTAGGGGAACATGTGCTTTGCTAATCTCCCAGTACCACCAGCTACCCATTATGTCCTCAGAAAGGCAGGCAGTTTCTTCAATTTCAGGTCTCCAACTCCTGCTGCCTAATCATTGATTCTTTCCCCAAATCTAGCTCATGAGCATTTTCACGTCATTTTTGTTTTAAAGAAGCTAGAAGAAGGTCTCTAGTAAGAAAAGCATGAAGAAAAGACAGAATAAATAAAATCTCCTCAAAGGTGCGATATCTTGTCAAGAATATGAAAGAGAAAAGAATGTGGGAAAAGAATGATTGGCATGTGTGAGGCTACTACATCGTCTATTTGAAAATGGTCCTGTTTAAACGTCAAGACAAAATTCATTGCAGGGGTTGGTGCTGGAGGCCTGTTCCACTTTGGCAAAAACTGTCGTTCTTGAAGAAGGCAAGAAGGGTTGAATGAGTTGGAGCCATGGCTGTTAGAGAGATCTTTTTCCTTTTCAGAAGGAAACCATTTTTGCAGTGTTCCTTGATCTCTTTTATGAATGAAAGGTTTTGTCTGATAAAAAAGTAGAGAACGGCCGAAACCGTTTTGGCTCAGTGGATAGAGAGTCGGCCTGCAGACTGAAAGGTTCCAGGTTCGATTCCGGTCAAGGGCATGTACCTGGGTTGTGGGCACATCCCCAGTAGGAGATGTGCAGGAGGCCTGATCGATGTTTCTCTCTCATCAATGTTTCTAACTCTCTATCTCTCTCCCTTCCTCTCTGTAAAATATTAATAAAATATATTTTAAAGAAAAGTAGAGAACGTTGCATGTTCTATGCTCACTGTCATATTGAAGGAAGGTTCATGGAAAACAAGGGAAGAACTATACTTTAATGCTAAAAATAGTTGTGTTTAGATAATAAGGTCGTATGTTTTATTTTCTGCTCTATTTTGCAGCTGTTAAGTTATAGTGGAAAATAAATTCCTTATTCAAGAATTAATTTGAACTATTATTCAAGTTATTTTAATCAGAGGAAGTCACTGAAAATGAAAATGTGCCCTGGCTGGGTGGCTCAGTTGGTTGGAGTGTTGTCCTCTGCACCAAAAGGTTGCAGGTCAGGGCATATATCTAGGTTGTGGGTTTGATCCCCAGTTGGGTGATTATGAGAAGCAACCAGTCAATGTTTCTTTTTCACATCAATGTTTCTCTCTCCGTTTCTCTCTCTCAAATCAATAAACATATCCTCAGGTGAGGATTAAAAATTATTAAAAATAAAATAAAAATAATAAATTTTTATTATTAATAAAATGAATAATAAAAATAATAATAAAGAAAAAGCCTATTTGGGGTATTAGTATGGAAAAATGTAATATCTCTTTGCAGAGAGAGCATTACATTACTTTTTATGATTTTCTGACTGCTCCTAGAATGGAAGCTTCAAGAGAAGAGAGAAGTAGTTTGCCTTGTTCAGAACCATGTTTCCAGAATGTAGCCCACCTGACCCATAATAAATATTTGTTGCATGAAAGAATGACTTTCACATATATTGAATATCTATCTGCCATGGATCAAAAATTGTATCAAACATAAGATCTCTGCCCTTATTGAGTTTAAAGTCTAGAA